TTCGTAAATAATGATTATCCATATTTACGTAGATATTTAATTTCTTTATAATTACCATTAAATTTATTTAGAAGTGTTAAGGCAACAGTTACGAAAAGTACTTTAGCTCCGATTCTCGAGAGAGTAATAAAATGACGTTGAGCTGATATCAAGCCAAGGGAACGTATTAATTGCGCTCGGGACACCGAGAATCACGTGCAATTAGTGGATATACAGACACGACACATGTGTGTGCCAGCGTCTTCGTTCCGCTATTTCATCGCTGTTGACCACCGAAGACGAGATGGATCTGTCAAGGATTCGCGTTCGTCGCGGTGTGTTACGCAAGCGCGCGAAAGAAGGCAATACTCTTATAGTATAGCAGTGTAAGAAGAAGAAGAGGAAGACTCGTCGAAAAATCTCCACTCGTGGCGGCCTTTATCGCCACTCCGATAATGGTTTTTTAATGACGAGACAACCCCGGTGACCTTCGAGCTGTCGCGCGCTCCCACGCCTACACGCATGCAGTTACGCCACTTTTTTTTTAGCCGCTCGTAAACTAATAACGGTGCTCACAAGGCCGAGAAGTATTTCACGTACAGACAGGCAAAGAGATCGGAACATTCTACGTATTCTACTATACATGCTCTCTTGACAAAACAAGACCATTTATATCTCGCTCTTAAAATATGTACGTATTTATTCATACGGAGTATAAAATAATACGAGAGATACCTATATATCATAATTACGTTCGTTTATTTGCCAAAAGTACGAGTCGCATCGCGTCTAAAGACCTTGGCCGTTCATCGTTATCAAGTAAAGTGATATTGAGGTAAATGTGGAGAACATAAAGTAACTACCAACATTTATTATCGCGCCCGATGCTAAACGATGGCGAAAATATACTTGGTTAACGTAGGAATTTCTCGACCTCGGCACAAATTCGATGTTTGTTTGTCGTTTAGCTTATGTTCCGTAGAGAAGCCGTTATTTGCCGTTTCGTTTTTCCTTATTTATAGCCTGTTTGCGAATAGGAGAAAGAGAGAGACGCGCCTGGGCGCGGATCGATTAAATTAGCATCATTTGTAGGACGATCGATTCGCGGACAGATCAGACGGGTAGAGCGAATAATGTGAATTAACGGGCGCGTAATTCGCGCGTGTGATGCGAAATCGCGTACGTACACATACTACGGTCGCTTTCACGCGGCTACGTCAGAGGGCTTATCCCATTTGGATACCTGCCAATGTGCCGACGATCTGACTCCCGTTCGGATGCGCCGAAAATAACGAATCGATCAAGCTTTAACGCGCAACTTTCGACGTCGATCGCAGCGGCAATAGACGAGTTGCGAAATCATTAAATATGTTTGAAGTAGATCATCGGGTCGCTTTTTCTGGAAATAATATTAAAGAAGAATTATTGATTGTTTAGGATATTTTTGCGAGCTTCCTTTATTGAGCTTCTGGCAAGATTTTATAATCAATTTTACTTTGTCTTGTTTTAAATCGCTGAAACTTAATTTGCAAAAAATATCTTCACCTCGATGATATAAAACTGTCAAATTAATTTATAGATTCGAGGACAAAAAACGTATTATTTCAGCGAACTAGTTTTCATCGATTATTTTACGATCTATATATTTTCAACGCAGGACTTTTATTAGGTTTTTTATTAACATAAAATAGCGCATATATAAACACATATATGTTAATATAAAATGTTAGCAAGACTTCAAGTAACGAGACGAACGTCCGCGCGATCTCGAGTCGAAGTAGTCGAAGTAGTCGAAAGATTGTTCTAGGCGTCTGCAGAAAATGGGACGTTGACAGGGGGATGTAAATGTTTATCGGTCGATTGCCAATAAAAGCAGAGGCACACATATACTGTGGCACGCTTTCAGCGACTTCCTGCCGTCCACCATTCGAGGTGGGAACCGAGCTGGTTTCACCATCGGCGAAAATTCCAAGTTAATATACGTGACAGACAACGAACATACCAATAAATCAGTTTCACTCAACAGTCAATCAGTGGTTAAGTTACTTCATTTGGAAATTGACATTGCTTTTCACTTTTTGTTTATCGCATTGTAACAATCATCATCGTTCATCGTTCAGCTTAAATAATTTTAAAAATCTTTCTTCAATGGTAAAAGTCGACCAAAACTGGCAATCATTTATTATAAATAATTAATTGAAATACAACGTTTCGGCTGTCATTGCAGCCCTTTTCAAGTAAATCTATAAAAAGTTAAATAAAAATAATTATAATTTTAATACATTTCATCGCAACAAATAATTATAAATTTATATACAAAAATATGTTACATACCAAACGTAAATGCATAATAAATTAATACAATAAATCAAATTCACTGCATACCACCGACAATATTCACAATTGTTTTAATGAACAATGTAGAATTGACAGAAGTAAGCAAGAAATAAATAGATGTTAACAGTTAGCAAGAATCTTAGTCACTACGCGTTAAGAAAATCGAGACAAAACTAATGTGTCTTTCGCAATCTAAAACCTCATAACAAAGTAAAAATAAAAATAATTTTAATAATTTTAATTTTCTCTCGAGTTTCTTTTTTTTGTATAGTCGTCTTATTATTTTTTTTTTATTTTTATAAGCTAATTTTTAATAAACTTTACGAAGAAAGAACGAGCCCGCGAAACGGTGATCGGTCGGCTCTCGAGCCATATTTCTCCTGTCAGAGGTCCACAAACGACACGCGTCGCGCGGTTTATTTCATGACGTGTGATTCACTTGGCGGCGCCAAGCGAGGCTCGTTGCTCGTGCTCGCTTTTTTTCGTCGCTTTTCTTTTCCTTTCTTCTGTCTTTGCATTTTTTTCGCTACTAAGAAATTATGAACCAAGTATTCGTGACTCTGTTGACGACGAAATGTTTTTTAGCGAACGTCCGCAAAATTATGCGATAATGATTAATTTATACAACGTCACGTGAAATTACGCCGTCTGAACTGCATGTGGTTCGCTCTGAATACGAATTTTATCACGTTGTATGTTATTAATTACCTATACTCGATCTTTTGACAAGTGCGTATAAATAATTTACTAGTAAACGATATCAGCAATTAAAATACGGTAAATTATTTTAAATAACACTTTATGATGTGCGTGTAATATCTGTATCTGTTTTTTACTGTTCTTTATTCAGTCAGACGAAAACAACTTTGAGTGACGTCTGTGCGTGCGTTCTTTGTCCGCCTTTTTCTCGGAAGGAAATCGAATTTTTACTTTTTCAGACTTCGCATTCTTATGATGCAGCTGTCAGTTAAAATTGCTTCGTACTTTTTTACGCGATATTCAGCGCGGCTTGAAAGAAGAAAAGTCCAGACGTCTGTTAAACAGCCACTCCCGTAATCTGGCAATTACTTTTAATTCGTCCTCTCGACCCTTTGCGTGTCCTTAAAGTTTCGTCCCCCTAAAAGGTCTGTCACCATTATAATCAGAAAATAATATATAGACAAAACTCTACAAAGGATTTAACGCGCCGATATTAACTCATAAGGACTAATTTGAAAATTTCATTAATTAAAAACTCATTTTAAAACATATGAACTTACATGTATATATATATATTAATTATAAATATTTTATTTATTTATTTGTACATGTATGAGTGATAAAAAGGATTCTATCAGAAGATGAAAAGAGTTTGTTGCAATATTAATAATAAGCAATATTTATAATAAGATAAAGAATATTTTATATTTTACATTACAATAATGTAAACTAAATTACAATTGCAAAGATCAGCAATGAATTTAAAAATAAAAAATAATAATTTAACAAAATTATAAATTATTCTATATGTAGTTGGTTCGCTGTCATTCGATGTTTCCGCCGGTTTTTCCTCTTCTCTTATTTGTCTTTGTGCTTTCTCACTCGCGAAAATACGATTAATTATGATAGCGCACGCATTAATCAGACCAGAATATGATTAGTATGCTGCGCATTTTACGTAGCACCGACGTTAATTTTGCGATAAAGAAATACATAGTTTGTTAATGAATCAGAAGCCAGGTTCTATCTGCATTGCGAAATCGTACACGACCTGCATTGTATTTTATATCGCGACGAGAGAACGCGAAGTTAGCGTGTTCGTAGGGAATAATCGTTTAGCATCTCTTATTGTTAGTACTTGACGCAATCGTACTTTCCGAGATAATACAATAATATACACCTCTTTCCGCTCGAGTTTCTCTATGAGTGACAACCTCTGTCAAATTTAGGACGCCACAAAAATTTCGAACAATTTGTAAAATGTTAAATATTTCAGGACATTAATTATTTATCACATGTTTATTATAATGTTTGGGTCTTTATTTTTCGCGGCGATATTTTTAAACGTGCCATGCACGAGAGAATCGCGATTATTTTCTACAATTATAATTAGAGATTAACAATTAATTATTAGCAATTAATATCTCTGTAAGCATATTGATGAGACAATTATTTCGTTCGATCTGATTGTTTGAAATGGGAAAACTATAAGGAAAGTTTTACAAGGTTGAGTAGAATCATATCAAAGATAGCAAGGATATTGATATGGATAACAATAATGCATCTTTCTTCGCGCAAAATAATTATTATTTAAATATTAATTATTTTTCTCATGTACTGCTTTATAATATGAATATTTATGAGTTGTAGAAATTAATCGACCAAACTAGCGAGTAAATGCGATTTATTCAGCTTCACGACGTTTCGATCATGTGATTGTGGTCCTTATCAAGTGAAACAAAAAGAATTCAATTAACACATTATTATATAAATTTTGTCAGTAACATTTCTTATAATGTGTTAACTTTAATTGAATTCTTTTTGTTTCGCTTGATAAGGACCACAATCACTTGGTCGAAACGTCGTGAAGCTGAATAAATCATTCACTCGCTAGTTTGGTCGATTAATTTCAACAACTCTTATTTAAACACTAGTGACTGCTATATTAATAATTTTAGAAATTTATGAATATTTATATTTCACAGATCGACATTGTGTGCACACAACTCTGTCATTGCATCATATCGGTGAGTGAAACTACTTTTTATTTGACATTTTGTGCTTTTTAGCATAATCTCATCCATTTTACATGCATTACCGAATTATTTAAAACGCTCTAAATTTCCACAAGGTATAAGTCATATTCCTCGTTGTAAACATTTCGAACGAAGAAATGCATATTATTATTTCGTCGTCGTAAGTCATAATAAAAAAAAAATGTGCAATTTCCTAGACGCGACGTACTGTTTCCAAACAGACCGATAGCCTCTTTTTCTATCTCGCACGATAATCATCGCGGATTTACGCGCGAGGGAGAGGCAGATTTATCGCTCTTGCGACGAAAGTGATATCGCGAGGGTGAAATTTTGATCGCAGCGTATTCTTGTCCATATAGTTGTACGTACCATGTCGAAGAGCAGGGTGCAAGAAAGTGCAAGCAAGGGGGCTTTGTGTTGCCAGGGCGATTCAGTGACCCGCCGTGGATATTGCCCGTCACCGAGGGTGAATGAAAAGGGAATATAGCAACCCCTGAATCGCGGGATAAATATCGCTCGCGAGGGACCCTCCCACGTAAGAATTCCTAATTCAACGTCGGACGGGAGCGAGAGACAGAGAGGAAGAAGGAGGAACAGGCACGCCTTGTGTGCACACGCGGAACCCTCGAATTTTATCGATTTTATCGCCCCCTTTTATTCCTTCGCTCGGAACTCTGAACGCGAAGGGGTGGACGAATCCGACGCGAAATCGAAAAGTGCTTGTTCCTTCGTTTCCGGTGTAATATTCTGTGTAATTGCATAATTTATTTGGAGATAAAAAGAGGGTACATCTTTGCGGTCTCTGAATTGGTCGTGGATATTCGATTAATTTTGAATGAAAATATATTAATAGTAAATCATTTCTATTTTTATCTAAATAAATGAGAATAATTTAATTTTTAAGAATATACATGTAGAATATTCAGGGTGTCTAGCGGTCAGGTGATTTTATAAATATGGAATTGTCAGGAAAAGGCAGGTAATTTTACTATTTATCTGGATTTTTCTGTGTTGTTAAAAATCGATTTATCTACAGTGTATTTATTAATTTATATTTTCATCGTCGTGTTATTTTATTTTAATGTGTTTGGTAGAGACAAAACTAAAAAACTGATATAATGATTATTTAAATGGTTTATAGTGACATGTTTGTTTCGATTATCGTACGTAATGCAGATTGTATAATTGATTTAAATTTTTGTTTTTTTAACTTCCGAACTTTTTCATTGTTGACAAAAATATCTCAGGAATTTCATTTAATTAATTTAACATTTAATTAATTTATCATACATATATAGATATATACAAATTATACATTTGAAAAAGTCAGAGAATATTTTTTATCGAATCTACTGGACACCCTTATATATTATTTGCGCACCATATTCTGTATTCCTTGATTATTTCCTGCAATGCAAATTTGTCTGAAGAAATTTTGTTCACAAGAGCGGCAGGTAATTAAATTTTTTTCAAAGACAAACGATATGCTTATAATTGATTTAAATTTTTATTTTTTTAACTTCCGAACTTTTTCATTGTTGACAAAAATATCTCAGGAATTTCATTTAATTAATTTAACATTTAATTAATTTATCATACATATATAGATATATACAAATTATACATTTGAAAAAGTCAGAGAATATTTTTTATCGAATCTACTGGACACCCTTATATATTATTTGCGCACCATATTCTGTATTCCTTGATTATTTCCTGCAATGCAAATTTGTCTGAAGAAATTTGTTCACAAGAGCGGCAGGTAATTAAATTTTTTTCAAAGACAAACGATATGCTTATAATTGATTTAAATTTTTATTTTTTTAACTTCCGAACTTTTTCATTGTTGACAAAAATATCTCAGGAATTTCATTTAATTAATTTAACATTTAATTAATTTATCATACATATATAGATATATACAAATTATACATTTGAAAAAGTCAGAGAATATTTTTTATCGAATCTACTGGACACCCTTATATATTATTTGCGCACCATATTCTGTATTCCTTGATTATTTCCTGCAATGCAAATTTGTCTGAAGAAATTTTGTTCACAAGAGCGGCAGGTAATTAAATTTTTTTTTCAAAGCGAAACGATATGCTTAATTTTGATGCAAATCAGTTGAAACCCGATCGGGTTGCGAATACGTATATACATACGGTACAGTTTTTCACGGTCAACGTGCGTGCGGCCCCGGCCAGTCTGGGCGTCGCGACGCTCGGCGCCACGTCTGCACCCTCGTGGCGTCACCGCGGAGGTTCATAAATTCCCTGGAACGCGGGTTCTCCTGTTTCGTTTACCTTATCGGCGCCGGATGAAGCACACGGTGGCGGCATAATTTTGCACTCCTTCGAACGTTCGACTTTCTGCCAATGCTCCCGAGATCGATACCCTTTCGATGCGAACAGGGCGATCGTTCGGAATTTATTCGAATCGGTATATTTTTGTGAGAAAGAATTGGAATGTTGTGGATGCACACATGATTTTTATCTCGATGTTCTACAACGTCAACTATTGTATATATTTGTGTTTTATTCTAATTATTTTTTTATCTTATGCAGATACAATATTCTACTTTTTTTTATAATGCATATTTAAATTTAAACGGCAGATAATTTATTTCACGGAAGCTAGATTAAATTTACAATTTAGATGCATATAAAAAAGCTATAACATTATTTTGGATAGTATTCTTTAAATCTAAGAAATATATGTATATACATATATATATTCATTTTTAAATATTCATGATATTTATGATTTTTTAAATGACATTATAAAACGTTGCATTTACATAATTCGAATAAATTATTATTTATTCGTTAATGTACATCTGAATATTGTTATCGCACGTTTGTGGTAATATTCTCATTAACGGCAGATATTATAGAGAGAAAAAGAACAATAAAGTTCTCCAAGATATATGTTAATTTCACAACGCCTCCTTAAACAGAGTCCTAACTGACCTTAACTATGTTGTTGAAACTATGTCGACCCACAAGAAAATATAAAATCGCGCATGCATATATCGCTGACCTTTCACGTATTATTTATTTATTAGCCCGCGTGCTGTTTTATTGCATTCTTGTTGCATAATATGCGCATAAAACGCAACAGTGCGAGATCTGCTATCTCGCGCGTTGGCACTTCGCATAATTCCCCACTTTTGCTGTGTGCATCGATTCGCGCAGGTTTGTCCTTCGAGGATATCGATCGGCCGGCGGAGCCGAAATTCGTGCCAAATGCATTTCTGCAAATGCATTTCTGTCGCGGGTCGCGCGCTTTTCGCGCGAAGCGTCCGTCATGGATGTTCGGGAGATTAAATTGCGATATCCGTTCTCTCGCGGTCGTCGTTTTATTTATCACGAAGACAGGATGGACGTGTCGTCCTGTCCCGCTCGGACGAAACCCGCTCGGAAAGTCGGGACCTTCGAAGACGGTCGAGGCGTCGCGCACATAAACGCGCTCGCATGAATTACATCCTGTAATTATGCAGCGACTAGGCTTTATCTTGGGAGAAATGCGTTTGCTCATTGCAAATGGCATACGACAAGAGAAGCATATATTTTGCATCTAATTATCGTGTATAAACGTAACTGGACATGAACGATTTTTGAATAAATGCATAATTATATGCATTATAATATAAATATGAATTACATTGTTTTTTTTTCATAAATATATAAATATATGTGTATATAAATCATAGAGAACAAAGAGAAAGAGAGAGAGGTCCTGAATATATGAATTTAATTACCTATGCAGATTTAGCTTAAAACTACGACGATATTTCGAGAGAAAATTTATTGTTTATATTGCTAGGTGCACAAAATGTTGCCTAAGTGGTAGATAAGTGCTCTTTGCGAAGTGCTTAATAACTAAAATATGTAGTAATGAGTGGTGACAATTTTCTACAATATTTTTGGTCTTGCTCTCTCTCGCACGTCGTTTTCAACATAACTATGTCTTGTTGACCATTCGAGTGACGAGAGTTCCCCGACTAAAATGGCCAGAGCTTGGAGAGCGAGTAGGTTAAAGTGCTAATGCCGTATGATTGCCGACGACTAGCCCGACCAGCAGTATAAGCAGCTTCGCCGCATTAAATCGTGCCGTATTCTACCGGGTGTTCGCACGCAAACGCATTCAAAAATAATGTTTTTATTTTTAATCACGATTTAATTGTGGACAAAATACATAAAATGAAGTGTGGAAACATGGCATGTACAAATTCTTATTTAGAATATAAATCACGTTTTTCTGCATTATTAGAAAAATTAGGAATTGAAAAATCGCAATGTTTTTTTATTATAAAGTTCGTTCATTAATTTTTTTTCTCTTTCATTAATTTTCGAAGATTTGTAATTTTGTAGATAGAGAAAGAAATTAATGAAAAAAATTAGGAAACAAGATAATCAAAAATATAATAAAATGATTTTATTTTTAATCACGATTTAATTGGCAAAATACATAAAATGGAAGGCCTTGTGTTGGATACATGGCATGTACAAATTCTTATTTAGAATATAAATCATGTTTTTCTGCATTATTAGAAAAATTAGGAATGGAAAAATCGCAATGTTCTTTATTATAAAGTCCGTTCATTAATTTTTTTTCTTTCATTAATTTTCGATGATTTGTAATTTTGTAGACAGAGAAAGAAATTGATGAAAAAAATTAGGAAACAAGATAATCAAAAATATAATAAAATGATTTTATTTTTAATCACGATTTAATTGGCAAAATACATAAAATAAAGGCCTTGTGTTGGAAACATGGCACGTACAAATTCTTATTTAGAATATAAATCACGTTTTTCTACATTATTAGAAAAATTAGGAATGGAAAAATCGCAATGTTCTTTATTATAAAGTCCGTTCATTAATTTTCTTTTTCTTTCATTAATTTTCGAAGATTTGTAATTTTGTAGACAGAGAAAGAAATTGATGAAAAAAATTAGGAAACAAGATAATACAAAATATAATAGAAATAAAAATATAATAAAATGATTTTATTTTTAATCACGATTTAATTGCCAAAATACATAAAATAAAGGCCTTGTGTTGGAAACATGGCACGTACAAATTATTATTTAGAATATAAATCACGTTTTTCTGCATTATTAGAAAAATTAGGAATTGAAAAATCGCAATGTTTTTTATTATAAAGTTTGTTCATTAATTTTCTTTCTCTTTCATTAATTTTCGAAGATTTGAAATTTTGTAGACAGAGAAAGAAATTGATGAAAAAAATTAGGAACCAAGATAATACAAAATATAATAGATAACATATCTTTATGTCCGTTATCATCATACATTATTTTATCATATATTATCATTATATACATATATTTAATCTGAAAACTTGAAGCAATTATTAAAAATTGTATAATGGAGAAAGCAAAGAATCTCTCATAGAAAATGTTCCAGGGCGATATGAGTAGATGGTATATGAGAGGCATAAAATAATTTCGTATATAGTGGTGCAATTAAACACGAGATGAGGGCAGACGATGTCGTCGTTGACAAAGGACCGCGGTAACTTTCGGCATCTCGCCGGTTCTGACTGTTATTAAACGTAATTTAATATCTTGCCCCGGTCCATTCGTAAACCCAGGACCCCTCTCGGAATTTACAATAAATGTGGTGGCGATTTCTATATTAAAGTCTACGAGCGCTCTTTCCGTGTAGGCGACATCCGCCTCGCTTTCTCGAAAGCAGAAAGATTCCACTGATTACGAAACTTGCTCGACCCACCAAGAGATCGTCTTTCGAATTAATCATAGTTACATAAATTGATCAAATCAAAATAAGAATATTTTCTATATCAAAAGCGTCAAAGTTTTATTTCGCAAAAT